CTAGAGCATTTTTTTCATATGCCTATAGATAGCTTTGATTACTTCATCTGAAAACTGTTCATATCTTTTCATCATTTATCAATTAGGAAATGCCTATTTTATAAATTTTCCTCAGCTCTCTATATGTTTGAGAAATGAGGCCTTTTCAGAGAAACTTGCTTCAATTCTTTTTCAAAGTTACTATTGCTAACTGTATTTCCCTTAATCCTATCTCTCCCCCGCCATTTATTTTGTCCTCTCTTTCCTTTCACTCTGTCCCTCTTCAAAAGGGTTCTGCTTCTGACTATCCCCTCCCCCAATCTGCACTTCATTTTTTTTATGAGGCAATTGGGGTTAAGTGACTTGCCCAGAATCACACAACAATTAAGTGCTATGTGTTTGAGGCCGGAGTTGAACTCAGGTCCTCCTGACTCCAGGCCAGTGCTCGTCCACTGTGCCACCTAGCTGCCCCTACTGTTCCTTCTTTCACCCTCCCTCCCTTCTCTTATCCCTTTCCCCTCCTACTTTCCTATAGGGTAAGATATATTTCTATACCCAATTGAATGTGTGTTTTATACTCTCTTTGAGCCAATTCTGATGAAGGTAAGGTTCACTCACTACCCTTCACTTCCCCCCTCTTCTATAAAATCTTTCTCTTGCTTCTTTTATGTGAGATAATTATGTGAGATAAAAACCCCAGTCTACCTCTCCCTTTCCCTTTCTCCTGCTACGTTTCTTTCTCACCCCCTTTATTTTACTTTATTTTTATTTTTTAGCTATCATTCCTTCATATTCAACTCACACCTGTGTCCTCTGTCTACATATACTCCTTCTAGCTGCCCTAATAGTGAGAAAGTTCCTATGAGAAGTGTCATCTTCCCATATAGGAATGTAATCAGTTTAACCTGATTATGTCCCTTATGATTTCCCTTTTCTGTTTACCTTTTTATACTTCCCTTGAATCTTGTATTTAAAAGTCACGTCAGTTCTAGTCTTTTAATCAAAAATGCTTAGAAGACTTCCAGGAGCCAAGATGGCAGAGTAAGCAGTGAGTTGCTCTCACTCTCCCTTTTGACCTTGAAAAACCCAGAAAATACTGTCCCAGGCAAAAGCCTGCAACAGTGGAGCCAGCAGAAAGATAGGGTACAGCACGGGGTTTTTTTGTTTGTTTGTTTAGCACGTGAGGCTAGGGGGATTAATGGGAAAAATCTCTCCTGCTGTGGCTCAAGGGGACCTGTACAGGATGGGAGACATCCCAGCAAGCCAGAGAAGTTCCTGAGCTCCAGAGAGGTGGACTGGGCAAGTGCAATAGAAATGAAGGTGATGGGAGAAATAAAGATATGGTAACATTTTTGGAGGAAAAAATTTCCCTCTTTTCTGTTACTAGTCTTACCCATTCCAAGAAAAGTTGGCCCAATACTTCATCATTGTCCTGCTAAGTTGTTTCTCCTATTCTAAAAAAACTCTCTGAAAATAAGTGCAAAAGATGGAATGCAAGTAGATGTTAAGGATCAATACTAGTTATTTTTCAGGGTCCCATACCACTTTTGACTTCACACTGTGCTTCCTTTAGGGAGCTCCCCTTCATAAACTTCCAAGTTTTTTACTTTGCCCAGTGCCCTCTCTAAGCAATACTTTGATTTTATCCATGAAACTTAGAAGGGGTTTTGATTTCCATGTATCCACCTCCCAGGGAAATTTACCTATTATCAAAAGACAATAAATTAAAGGAATTTAATCCCCAGTGGCAGCATTTCAAATGCTAGCAAGTTTTTGGGAAAGATGATGATGATATCTGATAAATATTATTTATTATCATAAGATTTTACAGCTTGTGGCAGGACCCATCTAGTTGAACCCCTTTATTTTACAGATTGGGAAACTGAGGGCCGGAGTTAAGTGCCCTGCACAAAATCATACAAGTAAAAGTAATAAAGCTAGGATTTGACTGCAGGTTCTCAAAGCCCAAACTTACTGTTCTCACTATGCCAAAATCCAACTTTCCATCTAAAACATGAGTGTCCTTAATATTATCATTCTACCTGAAGGTTATTACTGCTACTAGCAAGGAAAAAATAAAGAAAAAGAGAAAATGGGCCCAGGTTTTCTTTCTGAATCTTCATGAAGCCCCATGAAGCCACCCAGAGTTTACAGCACTTGAATGGAAAAATAGAAAAAATGGAGAGACCTGAATTCCATGATGGAAAGAGGTGAAATCATGGGACTATAGCATGTAGCATGGGGCATGTAGCATCACTAATAGATTCTGTGACTCTGATACACAAAGACTCTTCCAAAGTATGGCATCATGTGTCCTCCTAACATTATTACCAAGGTCAGCTAAATGGCCCAGTGGATAGAGCTCTGGGCCTCTGGTTCGGAAGAGTCATCTTCTTGAGTTCAATCTTGTCTCAGTTACTTACTAGCCATCTGACCCTAGGCAAATCACTTTATCCTGTTTGTCTCAGTTCCTCATCTATAAAATGTGCTGGAGAAGAAAGTGGCACACCACTGTAGCATCTTTGCCAAGAAAACTCCAGTGGGTTTCCTTATTTGGAAAATGTCTGATGACGAGTCTGACATGACTGAAACAACACAACTGAATCTCATTACCAACATATTTTAAAGCAAGGCAGTCATCAAAGGGAATCAAGGACCTGGAGCAGAGTTGTCTGGAATATTCATGGTATTCTGCCTATAGAAATGCACTCAGATTATCTTATATTCCACAATACATTCTAAATGGATATCCAATTTAAATATTAAAAAGATTGTATAATAAAAATTAGAAGATAAGCAAATCATATACCCTTCATAGCTATAAGTACAATATGTATCCTTAACTAAATATTCATTAGAGATGATTACAAAAGATAAAATTAATAATTTTGATTGCATGAAATATAATATATTTATATATTAAAATAATATCAACATATTACATTAATCATTATACAATAATTATGCCATAATTACATAGTATTAATTATTATATAATATGATACAATGTTTAAAAAATATATGTATGTATGCATGTGTGTATATATGTATGTATGTATATATACATATACACATATGTGTGTGCATGTATGTATTTGCTATTCCCCAATACATAAGTGGTCAAAGAATATGAACAAACATTTCTCAAATGGAGAATTACAAAATATTTATGGCTACATGAATGAATGCTCCAAATCACTAATATTAAGAGAGTCATAAATCAAAGCAACCCTTAGGTTTTACCTTACACTTTGAGAATTGGCAAAGATAACAAAAAATGTCAATAATCAATGTTGGAGGATAATAAGCACACTATACACTGTTGGTGGAGCTGTGAATTGGTAAAAAAAAAAGGATAGAAAGCAATTTGGCATCATGCAAATAAAATTACTAATATATCTATGCCCTTTGACCCAGAGACTCCATTACAGTGAATATACCCTGAGGAACTCATCAAGAAGATCAAAGTCCCCATGTATACCAAAAAATTTATAGCATTATGTTTGATAGGGTAAGAAAGAAACCAAAATAAAGTAAATGGTTATCAATTAAGAAATGGCTAAAAAAATTGTGGTACATGAATGTAATAGAATACTACTCTACTGTAAGAATTGATGACTGTGATGAATACATAGAAGCATAAAAAGATATACATGAGTTAAGACCTACATAAAGTTAACAATGCCCCCAAACTCCAACATACAAATGGCAACAACAATGTAAATATAAAGAAGAACCACTCCAAAAAATCAAAAGTGAATATGGCAAAATCTAAGCAAAATTCAAAAGAAAAATTATGAGTGGACATTGCTAATCTTCTCCTTTGTGGAAGAGGAAGACCCACAGGTTATGCACATTATGCATGATTCCCCTTTTTTATTTTTTAAAATGCTATTTGCTGTATAGGATAGCTGTCTGGGAAGGGAAGGGGCAGGGATATTTGGGAAAACTATCATGATGTTAAAAACATGAATGAGAGCTTCCTTTAAAAAAATACACTCAGAATCGTAAACTCTCCAAACTGAAAGGGGGCTCAGATGGCATCTAGCCCAAAACACCATGAACAAGAATAACCTTTTCAACTCACCTAACAAGTGGCCATATAGCTTTGACTTGAATGGTCAAGTAGTAGGGAACACATTACCTTAATAGAAAGAACAAGGATGCTTTTAAACAGCCAAAATATTTCCTTACATCAGTCAAAGTATACCTCTATGTAACTTTTTATTCATTATTTTTATTTTCACCCAAGACCAAGTCTAATATAGTTGAAGAGAGCTAGTTATCATGCTGCTGCAGCCTTCTCTTCATGCTAAATCTCCTCAGATTCTTCAACTATTCTCTTTCAGCTTGGTCTCCAAGTTCCTCCATAATCTGGAAATTGGTAGGAAATTTAGAACTTCAAGTCTCTTAGCATTGATGGAGCTTCTTAGAGACCATTTAAAATGTAATAAAAGATTTCTGCTCGAGGACATTCAGCTATTTTAAATAATGAGACTGTAAGTCCAAGGCAAAATACCTAGATTTTTCAACAGAGGCATGCAAAATGATATTGCACATTATTTATATTCTCTAAAGTTGTTATTCATAATTAATGCTCTTCTTTCTTGATTACAGAATCTTAGTGATGGCTAGGATATTCAAGATCTTATTGTATAATATCCTATGGGCATTCTCAATATAAGTCATCAAATCTCTGCTTGATAAAGGCAGGCCATTCTATATACCCAGGTACCAAGTGTCATCGTGATGCTGTCCCCAGCTGACCAATGTCACCTGCTCACAAACTGTTGCTTTTTCCTCTACCAAAACCTTTACATCTTTCCTATTCATATTTAGAAAATATGAAAGCTAGGATTTGATCTTAGCTGTCCTGTCTTCAAGCCCAGCATTATCTCATTTATATATACAGTTATCTACATCATCTCCAAATACAATTAGTTAGCATCTTTGGCTAAAAAGTGGAAGGACTAAATCTGACTGTATCACTACACTCCTACTTGGTGTCTTTGGGAACTCACCTCTATGAAGCTGAGCCACTATTATAGATGGAAGCCCAAAAATCAAGTCTCCCATCATATCCTGAAATAGGCCTTTCTCTTTTACAGGATCTTCTGTCACTCCAAGATATTCCTCAGTTATCACAGGAGTAAGGCCTTTGGGGATTTTCTGAATAAGTCTTAAGTGAAAAGCAATGGTCATTCATTCAGAGCTTGCATTTTTTCACCCATACACACATCATTTCCTCTATTCATTGATTTTATATCTTACAAAAGAATGGCCCAAGCAACAGCTTTTCCAAATGGCATTGTCAATCTGTTGTAACCAAGCCTCATTACAAAATTATGAAATATTACTATGAATTGTTAAGCCAATCATCCATTTATAACATTACTTACTAAGGCTAACTGAACACTGAACATACTGTTTTATTTAAAATAATGTATTTATGGAACCATCATACTGTTGCTCAGTTGTTCAGTCATGTCCAATTCTTTGTGACCCCATTTGGGGTGTTCTTGGCCAAGATACTGGAGTGGTTTGCCATGTCTTTCTCTAGCTCATTTCACAAATGAGGAAACTGAGACAAACACTTAAATGACTTGCCCAGCTAGTAAGTGTCTCAGGACAGATTTTAACTTATGTCTTATGGATGCCAGACCCCATACTCTATCCAATCCAGCCACTGAGCTCACCCTGGAACCATTAGAGTTCAGCAGAAAATCTATATTGATAACCTGGTTCTGCCCCTGAGGGAAATAATTTTACTTCTTTGTGGCAGAGGCTCTCGATTTTTACAATGAAGGTATTGATCTACTTTTCTTCTAGGTCCCTTGAGTTCTAATATTTCTGCATTCTAACCTTCCCCCTCACCCACTCATCTGTGAATTTATATTGTAAGTTTCTTCTCAGCTCTGAAATTCTATGATTCTTGATCCCTTACAAAAAGTGCATAGGAACTCCACAAAAGAGCTGTTGCTGTTTGTTGATCCAGTCTTCTCCTGATAGAGGATATCCCAGAAGCTGCAAAATAAATAAATAAAAAGCAATTATTTCTTTAATTAAATGAAAAATAAAGTTTTGATAGTATTTTTTCCAAATTTCATGTCAAGACTATTTTTAGGATGAATTTTTACTAGATTTTGAGTTTCAAAATTTTTTCCCTCCCTCCTTCCCCTCCCTCCTTCCAAAATTGGTAGGCAATTTGATATAGGTTATACATGTGCTACTGGGTAAAATATATTTCCATATTAGTCAAAGCTGTGAAAAAAGAAACAGATCAAAAGGAACTAAAAAACATGAAAAAGAACAAAGTAAATAAAAAAATGCTTTATTATGCATTAAGAGTCTATCAGTTTTTTTTCTTTCAATCTGGATGTGGCTTGCATTTTTCTTCCTGAATCCTTTGTAATTGTCTTGGATCACTGTATTGCTAAGAAGAGCTGAGTCATACATAGTTGGTCATCACACGATGTTGCTAATGCTGTGTATAATATTTTCTTGGTTCTGCTCACTTCACTTTTCTTCAGTTTGTACAAGTGTTTCCAGGTTTTTCTGAAATCTGCCTGTTCATTATTTCTTATTGCCTGATACTAATCCATCATGTATATACCACAGCTTGTTCAGCCATTCCCCAATTGATTGGCATCCCCACAATTTCCAATATTTTGCCATCACAAAAAAGGCTACTTTAAATATTTTTGCACATGTAGGTCCTTTTCCCTTTTGATGATCTCTTTGGGATATGGATCTAGTAGTGGTATTGCTGGATCAGAGGGCGTACACCACTTGGTTGCCCTTTGGGCATAGTGCCAAAGTGCTTTCCAGAATGGTTAGATCAGTTCACATCTCTACCAACAGTGCATTAGTGTCCCAATTTTCCCACATCCTCTCCAATATTTATTATTTTAATTTTTTGTCATATTGGCTAATCTGGTAGTTGTAACGTGGTGCCTCAGAGTTGTTTTAATTTGCACTTCCCTAATCAAAAATGATTTAGAGCATTTTTATATGCCTGTAGATATCTTTGATCTCTTTATCTGAAAACTACCTCTTCATATCCTTTGACCATTTGTATGTTGGGAATGGCTTGTATTCTTGTAAATTTGACTTATTTCTCTCTATATTTGAGAAATGAGGCATTTATCAGAGACACTTGCTGCAAAAATTATTTCTCAGTTTTCTGCTTTCCTTCAAATTTTTGTTGTATTGGTTTTGTTTGTAAAAGCTTTTTAATTACTACAATGAAAATTATCTATTTTGCATTTTGTAAAGCTCTCTGTCTCTTTTTTGGACATGAATTCTTTCCTTCTCCATAGATCTGATAAGTAGACTATTCCTTGTTCTTCTAATTTGCTTATAGTGTCACCTTTTATGTCTAAATCACGTACCCATTTTGATTTTATTTTCATATATGGTATGAGATGTTGGTCTACACCTAGTTTGTGCCCTTTTGTTTACTAGTTTTCCCAGCAATTTTTGTCAAATAGTGACTTCTTATTCCCAAAGCTGGGGTCTTTGTGTTTATCAAACACTAGATTACTATGGCCATTGCCTTACTATGTCTTATATACCCCATCTATTCTATGAATTGACCACTCTCTTTCCTAGTCAGTACCAAATGGTTTTGATGATTACTACTATAGTTTGAGATTTGGTATTGATAGGCTACCTTCTTTTTAATTTTTTTTTCATTAATTCTCTTCATAGTCTTGACTTTTTACTCTTCCAGATGATTTTTGTTTTTACTTTTCCTAGCTCTATCAAATAATTTTTAGGTAGTTTGATTTGTATAGAACTGAATAAATAAATCAGTTTAGGCAGAATTGTCATTCTTATTCTATTGGCTCAATCTACTCATGAGCAATTGAGGGTATTTCAATCGTTTAAATATAACTTTATTTGTGTGAAAAATGTTTTTTTTTAATTGTGTTCATATAGTTCCTGGGTTTGGTAGACTCCCAAGTAATTTATATTGTTTACAGGTATTTTAAATGAAATTTATTTCTCTCTTGCTGATGGGTTATGTTGGTCATATAAAGAATTGCTGATGATTGGATTCAAGTGGATTCAAAATGGCAGAATAGGAGCCAAGATGGTGGAGTGAAAGCAGTGACTTGCTTAAGCTATCCCCCAAAACCCTCCAAATACTCATAAAAAATGGCTCTAAAAGATTCTGAAGCAGCAGAACCCAAAAAAACACAGAGTGAAACAAATTTCCAGCCCAAGACAACCTGGATGATTGATCAGAAAGCTGTATTGTGCCGGGCTGGGAGCGCAGCGCAGGGTTGCATGGGCGCACAGGCCACAGCAAACCTGGAGCAGGCCTCAGAGGACTGAATCGCGGGAAGCTGTGCAGGTTTCCAGACTCCTCAATCCACAAACGCCAAAGACAACTTAGAAGGTCAGTGGGAAAAGTCTGTTTCTGTCAGTGCTGAAAGAGGAAGGTGGGGTTTCAGCCTCATTCCCCAAGAGCGTGGCCCTGGGGCGGCAGCTGCTTCCTGAGCTTCAGGCCCATAGACTGAGGGGGAATCCAATGGCTGATCAGAGAGGGATTGCAGGGATCTTTTTGTCAATGCTGAGACAGGAATCTTTTGCTTTGCCCTGTTTGGATCTGGGTCACAGTTCTGGGGCAGTGCTGGGGTGAGGAGGACTCGATGGTGGAGCTTGTAGTGGCTGTGGAGAGGAGCCCCTCCTCACAGTTACAAAAGAGAAAGGAATACCTGTGGTCACAGACCAGGAAAAGAGTAAACACCTCACCCCTTACCATACCACCTTGGAAGAACTGAAAATTTACAGGTCCCTACAAGGATCTGTGAAAACAGCTACACAAACCCCTGAAGCTTGGGACAGTATACTCTCCACACTGGAAGCAGACTCTTACCTTAACAAAGAGTTTAAAACTCAAGTAATTGGCTGGGATCATGAGCAACAGCGCAAAAAGAGTCAGACTATATTATCTTACTTTGGTGAAAAAGAAGATCAAATATACAACCAGAAGAAGACAACAAAATCTACATCCAAAGCCTCCAAAATATGAATCAGTCCCAGGCCTTGGAAGAGCTCAAAAGGGATTTTGAGAAGCAAGTAAGGGAAGTAGAGGAAAAACTGGGAAGAGAAATGAGAGTGATGCAAGAAAATCATGAAAAACAAGTCAACAGCTTGCTAAAGGAGACCCAAAAAAATACTGAAGAAAATAACACCTTAAAAAACAGCCTAACCCAAATGGCAAAAGAGGTCCAAAAAGCCAATGAGGAGAAAAATGCCCTAAAAAGAAAAATTGGCCAAATGGAAAAGGAAGTCCAAAAGATTACTGAAGAAAATACTTCCTTAAAAATTAGAATAGAGCAATTGGAAGCTAGTGACTTTATGAGAAATCAAGACACTGTAAAACAAATCCAAAAGAATGAAAAATTAGAAAACAATGTGAAATATCTCATTGGAAAAACAACTGACCTGGAAAATAGATCCAGGAGAGAGAATTTAAAAATTATTGGACTATCTGAAAGCCATGATCAAAAAAAGAGCCTAGACATCATCTTTCAAGAAATTATCAAGGAAAACTGCCCTGATATTAGAACCAGAGGGCAAAATAGAAATTGAAAGAATCCACAGATCTCCTCCTGAAAGAGATCCCCAAAGGAAAACTCCTAGGAATATTGTAGCCAAATTCCAGAGTTCCCAGGTCAAGGAGAAAATATTACAAGCTGCCAGAAGGAAACAATTCAAGTACTGTGGAAACACAATCAGGATAACACAAGATTTAGCAGCTTCTACATTAAAGGACCGCAGGGCATGGAATATAATATTCCAGAGGGCAAAGGAGATAGGATTACAACCAAGAATCACCTACCCAGCAAAACTGAGTATAATCCTTCAGGGGAAAAAATGGTCATTCAGTGAAATAGAGGACTTTCAAGCATTCTGATGAAAAGACCAGAGCTAAACAGAAAATTTGACTTTCAAATACAGGACTCCAGTGGAACATGAAGAGGTAAACAGGAAAGAGAAATCATAAGAGACTTATTAAGATTGAACTGTTTACATTCCTGCATGGAAAGATGATATTTGTAACTCATGAGAACTTTGTCAGTATTAGGGTAGTTGAAGGAAAAAAATTATATGTATGTATATGTAGATAGATAGATAGAGGGCACAGGGTGAGTTGAAGATTAAGGGGTCATATCTGGAGAATAAAATTAAGGGATGAGAGAGGATGATACTCAAGAAGAAAGGGAAAGGTAGAATGGGGTAAATTATCTCACAAAAAAAAACAGAAAAGAAAAGTCTCTCACAGTGGAGGGGAAACAGGGGAAGGTGAGAGGGAATGAGGGAATCTTATTCTCATAGGATTTGGCTTAAGGAGAGAATAACATACACATTCAATTGGGTATGGAAATCTGTCTTACCCTACAGGAAAATAGGGGGAGAAGGGGACAAGAGAGCAGGGGGATGATAGAGAGGAGGGCAGATTGGGAAAGAGGGTAATCAGAAGCAAATACTTCTGAGGAGGGACAGGGTCAAAAGAAAGAATAGAATAAATGGGAGGGCAGGATAGGATTAAGGGAAATAGAGTTAGTTTTTCACAACATGTCTACTATGGAAGTGTTTTGCATAACTGCACATGTACAACTTATATTGAGTTGCTTGCCTTTTCAATGAGGGTGGGTGGGGAGGGAGGAAGGGAGAAAATTTGGAACTCAAAGTTTTAAAAACACGTGTTTTAAAAAAAATGTTTTCACATGCAACTGGGAAATAAGAAATACAGGAAATGGGGTACAGAAGTCTATCCTGCTGTACAGGAAAATAGAAGGGGAAGGGCATAAGAGAAGAGGGGGGAGAGATAGAAGAGAAGGCAGACCAGGGGAAGGGGTATTCAGAATGCATGCCATCTTGGGGTGGAGGGAGGGGTGAGAAATTTGGAACTCAAAAATCTTGTGGAAGTGAATATTGAAAACTAAAAGTAAATAAATTTATATTTTAAAAAAATGGCTCAGTAAAGCCAGGGACTTGCCTAAGATTTT